GAATACGCATTAGAGGTGTTGTTAGCTACGGGCATGATCAGGCTTCGATCTTAAACAAAAAAAACTGGCCATTTTTTGTGTTGCTTTATTGCCGTTTTACGAGTTTAAATTGTGGCTTCGTGAAAATATACATAGATAAATGAGAAACGCCCGAAACTAGGCTTTTTTTCTAGATTCACGAGGTGGAGGTACGAAGTATCTACAGACCGCAAAAATTTAAATCGAATAGAAACGTATGTACAGAAGGTATTTCACGTAAATAGATTTAATGATTTCAAATCGTCACTTATGATAAAATGTCCCATAGCTTATATCGATACTGATTTGTTGAATAAGAACCACATATTCGTAATCCTTTTTCTTATGGATTTTTGTCGTTAACAGATTTTTTCCGTCTGAAAGTGAAATTTGTTACAATATCTAATTGTCCAATATACCGAATTTTCATATTGAAATAAAACGCAAATGAAATTTATTGCCTTCTATTTTATTGATGGAAAACAGTGGCAAATAGTTGAAGTCGTAGATATTCAAAAATATCACATACAACGAACAATACACGTGTAAAATTTCACGCGCCGATTAAACGTGTTATGTAAAGATGACTTGTTGAACATTTTATTTTCAGCTATTCTGAAATATTCCGTTCGTATTAAAAAATGTGAATAATTTATACAAATTCACTATAAGTATGGAGTCAGAATTGAGAAAAGTCAGTTTAATTAGAGTTTTCATCTCAAGAAACACTAAGCAATCAGACAAAATGATATTTTTCCGTTACATCTTTGTACTTGCTCTCATCATTTTGGTGGTTACTTTGTAAGTTTTTTTTTTTTCATTGAAAGCAAACTTTTTTAAAAAAATTATTTCAATATTTCGACCAAATTATATTTTACAGGTCAGCTGATGCCAACGAAAATAACAAGTATGTTCATTAAAAAACTTTCTTTGGACTAACATTAGAATAAGAAATGTTTTTTATTTGTTTCCAAATAATACTGAAACATGAGTAAATTTTTTATAATTTGTACAAAAATTCGCGTGGAAAAAGCTCATCTTGCAGTATTATTTCGAATAAAATAAAAGACACTTTTTAAGAAAGTAAGGAAACCATTCAATAGAAATAGATATAAATATATAGTTTCGCAAGTAGCCTCTATTTACCGCATCTCTTCGCTATGCATGCTAAACATAACAATGCCGTCATTGTTTGAAATGTTTTAAAATGTTTAAATTCATGGATGCGATATTTTTTGTTAATTACATTCACTCTTGTTCATCGACGATTAACAATAATAAATGTTACACTGGGTGTTCAGTGTGATTTTTTATTCATATTGTGTGCGATACGCGTGAATTCATCAGTCTTGAGCATATGAATCGTTGCGGCGAAACAGTAGCTCTTATTTTTCTCCAAATAATGCTGCAACATGAAGTTTTTTTCACACGGTTTATTTGTTGTAATACAACAAATAAATTATTCATAAAAAACTTTATGTTGCAGTATTATTTGGAGAAAAATAAGAGCTACTCTTTCGCCGCAACGATTCATATGTGCAATCAAAGTACATATTTCATGAATCGAATGTAAATGACCAAACATCTTTTAATCACTTTGCTAGAGGTAAGAATGGATCGAAAAAAGGAGCGAAAAAAGGATCGGAATCAGGATCAGGATCGGCAAATCCTCCTCCAACATCAGATGAACTTCGTGCGACACTTCGTATTTTGAACGAACGAAGACGACGTGGAGAAATAACAGCAGAAGATGTAGCCGCTTATTTGAGTGGAGAACGATCTGGAGAAAATTAATATTATTATTAATTTCAAGACCAAAAAACTCACCAGGAATGACAATACTATGAAAATATATTGATTGAAAAAACAAAATTTATTCCATTGATTCGTCTTTAATTCTTACATCATTCTAAAACTCTCTGTAATATTGATGCAAATTAAATCCATTTTCCTAGCGAAAATGTTGGACTCTGCATCCAAAGTTCGATGATGAAAAAATCACAATGAAAACATTGGTCGTACAAGTTGAGTAATTGATTCACTTGGCATATTAAATTAGATTGAATTATTGGATTATTGGATTTGGAACGGGGAGTATACTAGGTCTACTTTTTCTCAGTAATATCTGTAGTTCCTCGTTGCTCAGATTTCTTAACCTATTGCAAGACGCCCGTTGTGTTATGATGCCACTCGACTGCCTGGTTTTTTCCCTTTATTGAGCAGGGCCTCTTGTGGCCCTCGCTTGTTCGGCAGGGCCAGACCCTTGCTTTATTTAGGTAGATTGAATTAACAGAAACTTTTGGACACAAATACTTTTTGAATAAACTCAAACCAAAAACTGGCCATCTTTTTTTGTTGTTTAATTGAAACTTTCAATTGTGCCTTTTTGAAAATGATATGTATATAAAAAAAGATGTATAGATAAAGTAAAATATAGAAAAAATTGAGTAAAAAATTCAAATTAACTTTTCATTTGCTTTAAATCTTATTTTTGATAAAATAGTTTGACAAATTGCAAAATAATGTATTTCTACACTAAAAGGAATCCAATCTTTAATAAATACACGCCGAACAGTCAAACAGTGGTTCGAGTAAGTAAAATACGTGAATTGTGAGTAATTTTTGAGAGTAAATTGGACTTAAACGCCCACATGGAATTTGTTTGCAGCAAAGCAAATGCTGCTTTACAATTTGCCAAACGACAGTCGTCAACGGCTTCTATTCATTATTCCGCGGGAATTATTTCCGCTTATTCTGGCGAATTTATTTCGTGAGAAATATTTACGTTCCGATAGGCGTCAACGATCGACAAATTTTGGACTGCAAATATTTAAACCGAATTTAACATCGAATTTCGTCTCTCATATTGACGCAGTTGTTGCTAAAGGCAAAAAAAATATCTATAATTTTCTGATGAACATGTTGAAGACATTTGCAATATTTTTTTTTTATTTAATCAACATCTTTAAGCATACAAAGTATAAGTAAGTATCGAATATATCACATACAACAATACTGTGTAATCCGCGTAGCCTTTATTTGCTTATAAATGCGTAACATTATAAATGCGTAATATTTTTTTATAAACACGTTTTGTGCAAAATGTTTTTTCAGTGAAGAATTTGTACAAATTCGCTATATATATAGAGTCAGAATTGAAAAAAGTCAGTTTAATTTGAGTTTTAATCTCAAGAAACATTAAGCAATCAGACAAAATGATATTATTTCGTTACATCTTTGTAGTTGCTCTCATCGTTTTGGTGGTTGAAACTTTGTAAGTTTTCATTCATAGGAAGCAAACTTTATTCAAAACCATTACTTGTTTAATTCGACCAAATTATATTTTACAGGCCAGCTGATGCCGGCAGTAGAAAGTATGTTCATTAAAAAAACTTCTTTTAGACTAAAATACATATGAATAAGACATATTTGTTATTTGGTTCAAAATAATACTGCAACATTAGTAATGTTTTGTAATTTATACAAAATTCCACATTTTCACGTGAAGTTGGTTTTATGTTGGAGCATTATTTTGAATATAAAATGAAAGCCTATTTTTAAAAGAAAGCAATGAAACTTTGTTTGTGTTTCGGAGTCCGTTAATTCAAACCATATGCTTTTCACCAATATCGTAACTTCAGAATAAAAGCCGAATAGCAAATTGATTGCGATAAATTTATTGTTAATTGTACTGACTTTAGTTCAGCAAAGTGTGTTAGATTAAAAATAATAATTCGTACAGCGGTGTTCAACTGTTCATTCACATTGTGCGTGTAATAAACGTAAATTAATTTGCTATTCTGTAATCTTCAGTATTTCTGTAATCAAAGTACATATTTGTTGACTCGAATTCAATGATCAAAAATATTTTAATCACATTGGTAGAGATAAGAATGCACCGAAAAAAGAATCGGGATCAGGAGCAGGATCAGGATCAGGATCAGGAGGGTTACCAGATTTATCAGAAAAAGTAATTTCTAGAATTAATGCAGCAGTACAACGTGGAGAAATTTCTGAAGAAGATGCAAAAGCTTATCTAAATGGAGAAAGATCTTCGGATAATTTTTCCAAAAGATACAATATTTTTAATTTCAAGACCACATAATTCATGGGGAAGGGCGATAACATACATAATTGACGACAGTAGCAATTTCCAGGAGGTGGTAAAATAATTATAATCAGAGGAGCAAAAAATCTAAACCAAAATTAAAACTCTCAATTAATATACGTAAATTTGTTTTAGTATTTCTCACCAAAACCAATAAAATAATCATAAAAACCAGAAAACATTCAATAAAGTACATAGAAAAAATATTTTCCTTTCTCTCGGTGCGTACTATCCGTATTGTTCTCGTCCGAATTTAAAAAAAATAGTTTTTTTCTATCCATAGATTCGTTTTTAATTTTATTTTATTTACTTCTAAAACCTATGTAATTCATTAATTCTTACATCACTCTAAAATTCTGTACAATATTGACGAAAATTAAATTATCATATCATTTTAAATACGTTTTTTTTTATCGAATATGATCTAATTAGTTTGTCGTCCTAGCAAAAATGATGGGTTCTGCATCAATAGATCAAAAGCACAATGAAAACTTTTGAATGTATTTTTTTTTAAATCGAATTTCAAGTAGAGAATTCACGTCAATAAATTCGAATAGAATCATAGCGAATGTTATATTATAAACATGAGTGTCCGCAAGTAATGAGCCATGAAAATTCAGCACTAAATAGAAATGTATAAAAAATGGCAAGTTTTCGTTCATTGTGCTTTTTCACTTTTGTTTTACAGACATGGAATTTTCGTTGCATCAGTTTACAATCTGCACTGACATTGAAGTATCGATTCAATTTCAATCGATTGTATTCAATCAAAATGAAAATCCTGAACATTATAAACGATATGTGTTCGTTACAGAAACACATATAAACTCTACTACAATCTTTGGTATTAAATTACATTCGTGATAAATTAATGTGAATTAAATTTTAGCTGGTGGTGGCATTAAATCTCTATCGGGCTCTTTGCTTTGTGTAATTCGTTTTGGGGCCCTTTGCTTTGGTTTTGGAATGAGTTTTGTAACAGCTCGTTTGCTATTTGGTGATGGGACTTTTTTCGAACGTTGCGCTGTGCCACTTGTGAACATATCCGAACCGATTGTTCCACGTTGACGTGATGGATATCCATCTGTGTCCCAATCAGACACACCAAATCGATATTGATCGAAAAATGTATCTTCTGGATTATTGTTGAATTTTGGATTGTAACTGTCGAACGCATAAGTTGAACTGCTACCGCTGCCACTGCTGTCTCTGGTGAGAGTGTTTAAATCAATGTTATATGGATTCCAAATTGCGCCTGTGGACGGACCAAAATCATCGGTGAATGAAAATTTATTCTTTTCCGCGCCACCATCAAATATGTCACTAAAAAAGATGAATAAAAAGAAAATAAAAAGGCGAAATGTGAGTAATTTAAATATTTTTTTTCTTAATTTTCAGGTCAAAAACTAATCATCTACTTTAATGTTTCCATATTGAATTTATATGGATTTGTTACAGGTATGCCGTTCACTACTTGCATTGATGGTACGAAATTCGATTTCTCGTCGTGATCGTGATGATGCGAATGTGAGCTGTGATGATGACCGTGACCATGATGACGATGACGTTTTGATTCATGTGAATGACCACCGAACGAAATTGATGCTCCAACCGGATGGTCCTTATGCGATGAATAGTGACTGTTGCCGCTCGGATGATCGATGATTGAAGTTGCCGTTGAAAATGGGCTATATTCATCGTAGATCAGTCCTCGATTCGGTAAATATGGAAGTGAATTAATGTCTTGATAGGTTTGTGAATTCATGTGAATCTTTGGTTTCTTCTTTTTGCGGTATGTGACAACTGGTTCAGAGGCGTGTGCTGACGGTGGATGTGACCATGACTGTCCCACATCAAGTGCTGATAAATCAAGTGGTTTTGGTCGTTTTTTGCTTGGAATTGTTAAATCAACACCTTCCGGCGAGTAATCAAATGTGAATGGTTTTATTGTGGAATAAGATGGTTTTGATGAGCTTCCTTTTGTTGGTTTGAAAAATTCCGAATGAATTCCAGCATTGTAGAGTTTTGTCGATTCAATTGGGCTTGCTGTTGTCGATGATGGAAATCGATAGTAAGTCTTAATTTCAGCCTGTGCGCTTGACGATCCACTCAATGGTGATGATGGTGATGATGTCAATCTTCCAGCTAAATCGAATTCTCTGAGATATTTTTTAACAGCTCTTTCAATGTACTTTATCATATCCTCTTTGCTTGGATAACCGGCCAATTTACGCATAACATCATCCATATTATTTCGATTATCGTGATTTATATGCTTTATCGAATCATACGGATCATAATTGTGATGTGCAATAGACGATAAGTAATTGTAATTGTGATTGTAATCGGAATTTGACGAATCTAAATCTTTGAATTGTGTGGATAGTGCTGGATGTTTGTACGTTGTAGTTGTTGTTTGATGCACATATTCTTGCGGGTGGTCAAGTGAATATTCCGAAAAATCACTGGCCGATTTGGTCATGTCAGACACATCTTCTTTGTGCGACATTGGTTCGGTCACGTGGCTCGGTGTAGATACGACTGGAACCAATTTTGTTTTTTCAGCTTCATATATGTCATATTTTACGAAAGACGAAGACGGTGTGGTGTGATCATATTTAGTTTTCATTTCGAGTGCTTTGTTCACATATTCTTCGGCAGTTTTTGCATTGGCCAAAGTGTGTGATGCATATAAATCAACATCGGCTGGCTTTACACTTGTGCGTGGCACCACATTTATTACCAGATTTGCATGATCAACGCGACCTAACACAAAACCATTGAAATTAATTAACAAAGCAAATATATGAAAAATGTTCACTTGTGAAATGCACACGGCAGGAGTGTAATTTACCTGTTTGTGGATCTCCCGTGTATGTCGCCGATATAACGCGATTTTGTGATTTCCATGTGTTTGCTTGTGCTACTTGATCCAAAAAGGGCAGAGGTGCATTTTCATCATCTTCCAACGATGATGGATAATTTTGATGAACATTTTTTGATTTTGTTAATATGGGTAACAGCTGCGTAAATTAAAGAAAAAAAATAATAATCAAAAATTTCATTCACAAAACACAAAATCAATTGTATATTCAAGTTGTAAATTCCATTATTTTTTTTTGTATCATTCAACACTTGAAACACCAAATAATCAAATATTTTTTGTTCACTTTGAAGAGTAAATCACTTGATTCATTCCATAAAAATCCAATTTTTCCAACATCTCATTTAAAAGTGAATTGTAAAATTGTTCATTTTTAACCACTTTGCATTTTGTGAAAAGGAAGCCTAATCCTTGTGTGGCCGATCCTCTTTCGAATGCAAATCCAGTTCACTTCGTCAGCACTTTCTATAAAATTCGTGTACATACTTACAATTAAAAATAATAAAAACTTATAACGTATCATATTATTGCTTCCACGATTTCTAAACACCAAATGAATCCAACGCAGTAATTTCTCTTCGCTTTTATAGGAACAATTTTTGGCAGCTTGAAAATTACTTAGCAACTCATCTGCTTTTGCTCTGATTTACACGTTCACTATTCGTTATCGTTTTTTTTTTGCTTCTTCTTTCCGATTAGTTTCGAATGCACGCACGCACACACACACAGCGTCGTCTTCACTTATTTATGGATTATTCATTCCAATTTCAATGCCGTGTAATGCGATCGTGCAATACCTCGCACTGGATGGTGTATAACGGTAGTGCACTGAATAGATCTGAATTTTCCATCTTTGGTGCGGGTGTGTGTATATGTATTTGTATAGTTTTCTTTATTCTTCGTGGCGCATTCGAAAAGTGCGATTGTTTTTTCTTCTCGCAGTTGTGCTGGCTAAGTTCGGGGCATTTCGAGCGTAATGGATTTTATTGGTGAATTTAGTGTATATGGTGTTTTTTTTTCTCTTCATCACAAAACGCGTTCGCCTTCGAGGTACCCATTTCAATAGCATCGAACCGTACCGAGATCGATGAACAATAAACAAGTATGCAAGCAATGTGAACAGCAATACGCATCAAATTAAATGAATTAAATGCATTGTTTCACGAACGAAGAGAGAAACAGTAGCAACAACAACAACAACAACAACAAAAAATGAACACACTCGAATAGAAATCAAAAACAAATCTCTCGCAAAGCAAATACATCATGAGTTTGGATAAACAATGGCCATAGAGCATGGCATGAATTTGTTGATGGTTCTTGTTGTTATTGCTTGTCTGTTTTTTTTTTTCTCTCGTTTGTTTCATCTTCTTCTTATTTCGCGCCAAATATGTCTTTCATTTGAGGTATAGCACATTGGTTTGTGCATCAATTTTCTTATTCATATCTGCTTCGATTAAACTGTAACTAGAAAATAATGATAATTTTCTTGTTTGATTGCACGCGCGTAACGGCTAATTCGACGGTTTGTTTGAGGGTGTTTGTGTGCGATTTTACACATACGCATTGCATTATGGCTTCGTTTTCGCGAAGCCGTGTTTTATTATTGAATTTAGATTACATTTCGAATGACTTCGTCGAAATTCACGGACAGAAACGCATTTTTCTTTCTTTTTCATTGTGATTCGAATTTCCCTTCGTGCACGTAAATTGAAGATTTCCCTTTTCGGTTAAATGTGTGAATTGGCAGCAATTAAAATCTCAGTAGATTACGTCGTTTGGTTTACGCATGAAATAGAGAAGAAGAAGCAGAAAGAAACGTACACACAATTTGATGAAGAGAAAAAAGTGCTTTTTTTCGATGATTTATTCATGAAATTCTTTGGAAAATCGCTGTTGCAGCAATAAAAACGATTTAAAAAAAATGAAAACGTAGACAATCGACGATTCTGTTTCCTACCTCTCCTACCTTTCAAGGGTAATCATGTGCATATGAGAATGAAATTAATCTACAACTGCGGAAATGAATATGGATTTTATGGCGAGCGTCATTTTTCTTTTCTTATTTCGATTTCAATTTATACGATACCTCTTCCCATTTTGTGCGATACACTTCGCATTCTTCAACAAAAGGCAACAAAGTTTCACAATTTAGAGCTAAAATGGCAATAGCGTTCGGAACTCTTTTTTTACGCTTTTCAAATCGAAAGCGTTTCATTTTTCATCCAAATTAAAACTGACTAAAATGGCCTGCGGTTCGATTAAATGATTCTTTTTTTTATTTGTTTGTAGAAAAAATTACAACATTTTTGTTTTTGTTTTGTTTTTCAACCAAAATACAGCCAGCTTACATTTAAAGTGAACTTAAACTCGACATTTAACGTTAATTCTTAAGTTAAGCGGTGATCTGAACGTGTGGATACTATGTTCATTCATCGTTGACCCTATGTAAATTATCTTGGCAATCGTACAATTTATATATATTTTTTCCTATAATACACAAACGCAATAATTATGGAAAGCAAGCCACGGAACAGTAGAAAAAAATTGAATAAATAAATTACAAGTTTTCGAATGGGATTTTCATTTGAAAAAAAAGAAGAAGAAAAAGAAAAAAAACCTTTCTACAAATTAACTAATTGTGTTATTTTCAAATTACTCGATTTGATTTGAATTGGTTTCGCAGTATGTACTTGTTGTACGGTAAAATAATCTTGTAATTCATTAAATTGTCTTATAGATGAGATTTCTTTTTCAAATGATAAAAATAAAGTCGAAACGACTCAGTTCCTTCAAAAACTGACCGCACTCCGAATTCATTGGTGTGCATATATTTTTTTTTCCTCTGTATTAAGAAAACATGGCAAAAATCATTTACACTTGGACTTGTTCAGGATTGCTTTGCTTGGCAGCGGTCATTCGTGATTTCATTCGATTTGCTAATCGTTTGAATTTTTTCATTTGATCTTCACGATTTTGAGACGATTGTCGTTTTCTGTTTGAGCTTCGCTTATACAAATTATTATCCTCGGTTGATTCCGTTGAATAGTCGTAGCCATTGTTATAATGGTCCGTTTGTGCCACTTGTGCATGATAATTATGTGGTAAAATTGCTGGACGTTGTGTAATGGCAACGGTATTTGCGTACGGTGTTGATGCCACAATTGGCTGAGCATTTTCATCGTAACCTGTGCGATAAACACAAACCACAATTAATTCAATAAACAATTCGAATACTGTATAAAATATATACTGACCAGAGTAACTGTCACCTTGATCTCCTTGTGGATAATAACTTTCTTCTTCATATTTGTGATATACTAATGGTGCTCGGTATGTTTGGGGTAAATATTGTTGTGAAATCGGTTGCGAATAATGATCATCGGAATGGTATGGTGATTGAGTCGACGATTTGAAAAACACCTGCGTATGCTTATCGTCTGGGAAATTCTCGGTGGTTAAGAGTCCATCATGTTGCGATACTGACTCTTGATGTGGCTGACCATAAATAACTTCTTCGTTGGAGTGCGTATCATGCACGCTGTGTTGCTGTTGATGCTCTTCATGCACATTATGATATTCATATGCAGTTGGATGTACAACACCTAATATTTATACAATGAATATATTAATTACTAATTTTGGTTACACTTAAATGGGTTTTCGTGCATTTTATATATGCGAATTAAAACAATAGAAATCAGCAGTGAAAACATATAAACCTAAAAAAACGTGTCAACCGAAATTGTGGCCGTGGAATAGTTTTATGATTTTTCATGCAAAATAATTTCTCGCTTTTTATTAACCCAAATATCGATTTAATATCGATCATTCGGCTGTTTCCATAGAAGTCGCTATAGTGCACACTGAATGAAAATTAACATGATTTTACCTGAATGTTGATCGGACGTTTCATCTGAATGAGCAGATTGAGTGTAGTAATTGGCCGGAGCTGGTGTAGCTACAACATGATCGGCTCCGATATCAATTGGCTGCGCAATGTGTGCATTTGCGTAAGGATTTGAGAGTGGTTGGGAATAGAACGGTTGAATTGGTTGCACTGGTTGAATAAACATTTGTAGACTGTGCGCTGGCACGTATGCTGCTTGTTGACCGTACGGTAATACTGGCAATGCTCCATATCCATGTACATGTTGTTCCTGATCATGAATTTGTTGCGAATCGTCAACGCCGTGAGATTCCTGCTCTTGAATGAATTGAGCAGTGCGAGCTTCTAAATATTGTTGCAACAACGCCTGCAAATGTGAAGCATATTTGGATGGGCCATTATAACGCAATACAATCACCGGCACCGGTTCATCAGTGTGGCCACTATAATCCTGTGAATGTCCATCGCCATTTCCATTGAAAATGGTTTTGTATCCATGTCCGTTTTGTTTAATTTCATATGAATGCGATGGCTGTATTTCCACCGAAGCGTGGCCATTTGTTGTTTGTTTGCGGAAATAATCGGGATCACTTTCGACCAATGCCATCGGATAATTTCTCAAGTAGTGCAGTTGATGTTGTTGCTCTTGGTAATGATGCGATGGTGCTATATCGTGTTGTGAGTATGGATAAATTTCATATTTTGGCTTTGAAAATGTGTACATCATTTGTTGATCGTTTGGTTTTTGATAACCATATCTGAGGATTGAGAGAGAATTGACATTAACTTATGAAAAGATTGTCAAAAATACCAAAAACTCACCCTAAGCTACCGTCAATAGTTCGTTTAATATTTTTACCGGTTGTTGTTCGATTCTCTTTTTGTAGCTTAATTTTAACATTGTCACCAAATCGATTGAATTGTTTGTCTAATTGTTTGATGAACTCAAAATCATCGGATGGTAGAGTTTTAAAGTTTTCAAGTAAACTTTTCGGTCCTTTGGTCGGTTTCAGATGTGTCGTTGCTTTTTTAATTTGATAATTTAAACGTTGCGTTTTGCAGTCAATTACATTCGTCCACACGCAAACACCGACGATAACCTGAGAAAAGAAATCATAAATATGAAAATTGGGATTGCTAAGTTCAACTTATCCATATGGTTCGGAAGTGAAAAGAGAATGACTGATACATGAAAATGTGAAAATAAATAACAAAATGCCGTGATTGCGAGATTAGATTGGTGAAAGAAAAAAAAACTTCAAGATTGTACGTGAAACAAAATGAAACGCGTTGTACATCGCTCTCACCGAATTTATTAGCACGCCTAAGTAAACAAGTAAAATAATTAATGGAAAACAAAAGTTTCACCGCTTGAAAACATCAGCAGCGCACTCATACAGTGCCGACAGTTAGATTCATAATGTGATACAAAAATGAATCTATTAACTGTTAGTTTCACACGATGACAACAATGATCATTTCAACGCCATCAATCTGCGAAGCGCGATCGTACACATGTTGTGCTACGTGATGTCACAACCTGATGTATCGTTGTCACATTTAATGCGCTTACATTTTCCGAATTTTGTGTGATTTCATAATTCGCAGTGATTTTTACTTTACATTTCGCACACAGCATCAAATATCCCGCATTCACTTGTCAACAAAAATCGGCAAATTAATAAATTTGTACGGTATGATTTCAAAGATGCTTTTGTTTCTCTTTTTTCGGCTGACGTTCAAAATATATAAAATAGTTTTCGCTTAAATAATGTCACATTGAAGCATAAGACTAAAACAAATAATAACGAAATTAAGTAAAGCCATTGAATGCGAACGTTCAACATCGTATGCAAATTGGCATACAGAGGCTGCTCAATCACCGGTAATGCGGCAAAGTGAAAGAAGGAATCGGCATCATTTAAAGCTCACTATCATTTAATAGATGCATCGAATCTGCGTCGTTTGCTGCTGTATGCAGACAATTTATTATGTATTTAGTACGCTCGGGTATTTCACTTTAGTGCGCTTGTAATGAGCGTTGAGCATTACCAATGGTGAATATCAATGTGCAATGTGTGCGATTGCATAAATTGCGTATCATCGTGAGCGAGAGCTCCAATAGATACATGGCCCGAAATCGTTGAAAATGCCATTTTCTCAATGTTGTTGCTTTTCATATGTACAGATTAAATGGGAAATATGATAGCGAACGCAATTCGATGAGTGTACAGTGCACCTCGATACGTGCATACGTTGCACTTTCTCGAATCATCATCATAAGTGTGATCAAAATTGTGGTCTTTGCCAAATGGGTAACTGGTATCTTGTTTTTTTTCTTCTTTTCTCGCACATTCAACATTAATCACGCGTACATATATGCCATCACGACTCTTTCGTTCCGACGATTGTTTGTGTGCCAATATACCGGAAATAAGTCATAGCGCACTGCGATCATAAAATTAAAATAATTAAATAATGCTCGTTAGCTGCTATAATCAATATGACTTTTTGATTTGAAGTTGCATCGATTTTGTAATCGAATATTGCAGCGGTGAAGCACATCCAGCCAGTGTGTATGCATTTAGCGCGGAAGAATTATATCTTGACACATTAATTTGCAATGTTCAATGAAGTGAACAGAATTCGCACAATCATCATAATACCATGACCAAAACTAAAAGCTAGCGTGTTCATGGCTTTGATTGCGTTCATTTAATAGAAATTCTAAGCCAAATTAACATTGTACTTCAAACACATTTTCGATAGAAAAGGTGCGTTCAAGTGTAAAACAAAACCAACACACAAGTGCTTCGGGCTATTGTGTGAAATAGAATATTCAAGACATTTTCATGACATTATGAAATACGGGCAATGGAAAAATCCAACAGATATGAAGCGAACACGTTATGGTGATTCAAAAAATGGTTTTGATGATTCAACACTTGGAAAAATACCGAAGAAAAACCAAATCGAAAAAATAAAACAATTTGCGTGAACAATGCAATGCATATACAATGGACCGTCATGTTTGCGTTTGATCACTGAGAATTCGTGCGACAAATGATGGTCTTTTCGGTCATTTTTCATGGGCTCAATTACTAAGCAAATTGTTTTTTTAAGGTTCAATTGAAGAAAACGTAAACAAAAAAATCTAAAAAAATCAAGCACGACCGATCTTAATGCCGAAACGTGAGCATTTGAACTCTTACCACATACATTCAATATTTCCGTTCAGACACTGTCTGCATTGACGACTGTCATTAATCTATTGTGATGTAAAGAAAAACGTTCATCTCCCGCCGGATGATGTAAGAGTCGCATTTCTTTTTTTTCAATTCGGTTTTTTACGAAAACAATGATACACGTTGCATTGGACGTTATACAATAGCACGTTTCATCTCGTGATATATTTTGTAAAATAATAAAGGAGAAGATAAACGATTTGTTGCGCGCAAGTCAATTATTTAATCGATTTACCTTGTTAACAGTGTATTTCTGAGCAGTGAGCGATGAAAAGAAAAATGTGACGACAAACATCGCCGGTTATACAGTTTCGAAATATTTTTTTTCCTTTGCTCATTTGTCCATATTAACTTGCTGAATACAAAAAAAGCGGTAGGCGATCTACCAATCGTTTTCACTATCTTTGTAAATGTTATTGCAAATCATTTAGCTTTTGTTCATGTTTATCTCGTGAACATTATTTGTTTTGGTGAAGTATTTCCATGGTAGCTATATTGAATAAACTCGTGCGCGTACTTCCGCTACAATAATTCTTTGCATTGAACTGACATCGCATGCTCTGTACACTAAATGTAGTCACTTGATAAGTTGAATTTGTTTAAAGAGAAAGAAGGAAAATTCACTCTAGCGTATGAGATATGCCCAGTTTCAATTGTTTAGTAAATTTTTTTTTTTTTTTTTTTTTGCTCTTTTTTCTCTCTGACATTTTTCATGTTTCATCTAATTAATTTAGTTAGAAGAAAAACATGTTAACAAGAAAGACTTTCATTTTATTGCTTGACTTTTTGCCGTGAACTTTTTTGAAGTGCACACCGATCGAATTCGAATCCAGCGCCGTTAATGTGTTTGTTTTTTTATTTATTCTCGACGAAATGCAATAAAATTATCTCATTCATTGAAATCAAATACCAGAAACAGTACCAAAGACAAGTGACGTTGCTATTGAAATGAGCATACACGTCATAATGATTCTGTGTGAAGTTGCTTGATGAGTACCGATATCAACTTAATTGTAGTTTGTGCAACAATGTATATTATAAGAAGAAAAAACTGCTTTGGAAACCAAATGTGAAACGTGAAGACAAACAGCAAATCTTCGATGGATAAAGATCGTTGGATTTATAGTGTGTTAAAGTGGAGCTAATCAGCATTTGGTGATGCAAATTGCAAATGCAGCAGAAAAAGAAAGACCAGCCGTGGAAATTCGTTCGATAAACACAAACAGTTGCCACTTGGTACTTTTATTGGGTTCGAGATAAAAGTGGATAGAAGAGAAGAAGAAAAAAATCTCACTAAAAGTGGCAAAACAAGTATGAATGTAGTGCAAATGGTGAACCGATTTTTATTTCCTGACCGCGAAAGCCATATACGGTCTGAGAAGCGAATGTGTTACGCAATAAACAAATCTCTCATAAAAAATTGCGCTAGACACTAATCTCTGATGTGGATAATGTAACTAAAAGTTGCAGTAGAAGAAAAAGAAAGAAAGACTACTTTTCATTTGAAATACGACAAGGAAGCATTTCTTCTTTTTTCATTTGATGCAGTCGCAATTTATGTCGAAGTTTTCCTTTGCCATTTTAGCAAACTGTTACGGACAATCGAATATTTTTAGAAGAATAATCCGTTTTAATCTGAAAATGATCAATGTTTGCCAAAAGTGTCGGCAAACCGGTCTTGTGATGCTCTTAAATGACATAATGCCGTTCATATCTTGATAAACTTCAATTTAAATTATAAGCTCCGCAAATAATCGATGTTGTTTTATGAAAGTGACAATTATGTAAATAAATGCTGTGAGAGATGAATCCATAGCATCGGAAATGGTTCAGCAAACCTCTGTGGGCGATTGCCATACATTTAATGATCAATTGTGCACTTGCGTCTTTGCCTTTTACTTTTTTCATTCGAGTAATTAAGTTATCGTAACAAAGAAGATGAATGTTCAAATGCCTTTTTTATGGCTGTCATTATATGCAGATGAAGATTTTATTATCAAACTTATGGAAACTTTTTGTTTTTCAACATATAACAAGAAAACGCACAGAAATAAAATAAATCAGGCAATTTTCACAGATGAGAAATTTTTTCCATTATTTTTCTTTTTCACTCGCTAAATTTGTTTTTATTGAAAATAAATTAGTTTACCATTGGAGTAGAGAAAAAAATTCCATTTGACAGATGATGGTGAGTGTGGAGGTGAACTATAGGAAAAGATTAATGATCAAACGATTGCAATCTTAAAAAGCAAACAAATGAAATTTTAAATGCTTTAAGTTGACAATTTGTTACACTTTTTGATCAAATATCCAACTGAGACTACAAAAAAATAAGATAAATGATCGTTTTTTTCTCCGTAGTGTCGGTACACACTACGTTTTTTGATGTCGATGTGAAATCATCGAAATTACTTAATGGTTCATCTGCCAAATGTGTAACTGGACTGCGTAAGCTCAATTGTTTTACAGTAATACACATGAGTTCACATGTAAAATGCTCAGGTTGAAAATTAGTTATTCGTGCACATCAAAAACAAATATTCCAAATGCTCAATTTTGGATGTCACAACACCGTAAACGCAAACGTTTTGGAATTTCAAGAAATTCAACGGTTGATTTACTACGGCATTTCTGGATGAAAGATGATGACTTAGACACGATTTGACAAAAAAATATATTTCACAGCGTCAAGACTTTGGTAGACGGTCTTACATCATCGATTCTACTTTTTTCCTGCATACAATTTTTTACATATGGGACCAACGACAGCGCCAATTTCAGTGATCTATTGCACCATCAGTTGGTGTTGATCTTCATGTTTTTCATGAATTCTTAAATAATGGTGAATTAAGACATAGCTCAGTTTGAGATCGAGAGACGAAACGAAAATTCTTTCTTCACAATGTCAATTCATTTAGACATTGAAGGTAAAATAATGAGGTCAATATGCACATGAATTATCAGGACCAATCCATATCAGCTATTGATGTTTATGTGAAATGGAAAATTAAAATATAGATTAAAATAAACTCACCGCAATATAAAGATTTTTCATCTTTCTAAAAATTGATTTTATTTACTAAGTTGGCACTTTTTCAGACGATGCTTACAATGATATCTATTCAAAATGTGTTTATAAAAAAAGAAAACTTTAAATTCGAATACTCCACCAGAAATTCACTTGCACACAACAAACCATAAAAATGCGTATTATTCCTTCTGCCTACACTAAAATCTGATAAAAACGTTTCCACAATTGCGTATATATTTTCGCTGTCTCGATCGGATGATTTTAATCAATTCAACACTAGAAGCAAATCGCTTTTCGAATTTTCACCAACTTTCCGTTTTTTTTCTTCGTTCGTACAACAGTTTTACTTTTTACATTCGCTTTTTCGTATCGACACAGTGCCTAAGCTAACGACAACGATGTCACGGAACCAGTTGCTGTAGTAAGACTACTAATATAGGGGGTCATGAATTTAGCTTTTATATTAACTGGGAAGTTGTTTGAAAAGAAAAAAATGTTTTTCGCACAGTCGGTGCACGGTCCGTCGCGCGACTGCTGCATGGCGAAAAAAGAGAGAGAGAAAGAAGAAAAGTTACCAAAATGTTACGGGCGCATTGGGAAAACTGCACACGAATTTGACCGGAGCTGGTGGATATGAAGACATGCTATGACGATCACATGACTATGAAAGTGGCGTGTGTTTGTGCGCACGTTAGTGCAACTATAACGATTGGCATCTGTTCAACACGATTATCGTTCGATACAAATGCACATCGAGTATGGACTGTTTTATTGCTATGAATTCAATCATTTTTTTATTAACATATCAACATGATGTATGCATTTTCATTAATAAATCGAAAAGAAAGTGTGTCAATTTGATAAGTCAGCTTTGATTGCGTTGAAAAATATGAAAGATGTTCGTTCAACAGATGCACGATACCGGTAGAAGAAACGGTATTCCAAGTAAATGATGTGATTTTTCCGATTCAATGCACGTTCTTGCTGCTTTCCGCACCAATCTCTAATTACACTAATTTCAAACAAATCTTTCTTGAATACTTGATGACATCCCCATTATAATTAAAATGTAATTCAACTTAATTAGTTTCATTTTAATATGCAGTTTACGTCGATTGCATTTTAACTACATCCACCGCATCGATCGGCTTCGACATGATGTTGCGTAATCGATGCTTCTTCGTAATTTTAACAGCTGCAAGACAAAAGCATGCTTTCTTTCTATCCGATATACATCCAATAAATAATGGCATAACATGGGCTCAATTGAAATAACAAGAGCTAATTGTTTAATTATTTTATGAAGCATAATAGTTTGAGGTAGTCAATCATTGGATTTAAACTCTTTATGCATTTATTCACTTGAACATTTCATGTGAGAATGATTAAAATTCGACATGATCGAAGAACGATTTAAAATAATTGTCGTGCAATCGGCATCAGTTTGTTGATCTGCAAACGGACAGAACAAGGTTTTTGTACCCGCACAATATCGAATCATATCTAGGTTATTTTCAACGATTGCATAATTTCAATATATTCTTTAGATTTGAGTCGGGAGATTTGTCGTTTCTGATCATTTTTTACTTGAAGGCTTAAGTTCATTGCTGATTTATGGACATGGTTTTGATTGACAAATTTTTTGAATGACATGATGGTTCCTTGCTTAAAACTTTCAAGATTTCTTTACTATCGAATTTTTTTTTTATGGCTTCAATTGTTGCAGAGGATAATGAAATCGAACAATTCAAAAAATGTTTCACTCTTCAACAAAAGAAGTCAACAAATGTTTGACCAACAAAGTTGAACAAAATCGTTACAATTTTGTGTTCTGTGAAAGCAACAAAATGTGGACTAGATTTGAATAATACGAAACATCCTCAGGGATAGTTCATTTGGGGCTTCTTTTCGTTAAAAAATGGCAGTGTATTACAACTTATTTAACCGCCCAATGGCCACATCATTGTAAAATTTACATTCATTTCAGCTACCATTTTACAACACGGTACTGTTGTTGTTTTCATTTAAAATTTTCTGCTTCGTTTAAAAAACCATCATAACAATTGAACCGTTTGTTCGAGAGCAGTTGAAAATTACCGCAAATTATCTATCCATTTAACCGAAATTTAAGACTGGTACACACAATCAGTTATGTCATTCATTAAATTTAATTGATATTCATCATAAAAAAAAGAGTCCAATAAAAAAACAACGAAAATATGAATGGCATCACAATAAATCTTCAGAAAATGATGCAGTTACAGCCGCTCAGTTTGATGAAACTACCTCAAAGCCACTGAATTTAACAAAAGAATAAATTTACTTGCGGTCGATTTTTTTATGATAAACACACGAAAACAGTTGAACAATTTTATGAGTTAGATTTTGCATTCGCATGTGTGGTCATTATGTGATCGCAATACACATAACAATAAATTATTGAATAATTCTTTTGTTCCAGCGTTGACCATGCCACCAAAAGTTGATATTGAGCAAATGTTTATATTGTTTTTAAAATATCGCATTTAAACTGGATCTAAAGAAAAGGTAAAGTACATGTGTGTGTGTGTGTGGCAAATATATTCACATGTTGATATATTTAGATTAACGATGTATGTTTTCCTTTTTTTCTTAATTCACGCATCATTTCATGTGTGGCTGAGGTCATGATATTCGCGATGCTTTTCCTTGCATGCAATTTTAATTTTCATTTTCAATTTGGAATTTGGATGCCGTGCGATTATCGAACAAAATGACTCAATTTAAAAGTAAAAAGTCTACATTTTCTGGTGCAGTTTCTTGAGATAATTTCACACGAAACGATTCATATGAGCAAATTGAAAGCGATGTGGAACAAAACATAAAATTATTATTTACAAAAAAAAAGAGTCGGAATTTAATTCAAACGTAAGAAAAACTTGTAGACTCACGATGGAAAAAAATATGTACCGTTTTTACTTGCTAGACAATGGCCTTGAGCAGTTTAGTTGCACGTTTGTTTCGTTTTTATTTCGATATCGTGCAATGAGGCGTCTTTGAATTTGGACACGATAGTACGAAACAACATCAGCTAAAGTACTTGACTGGAAATTTATCCAAAAGTGATACAGTTTCATTTTCTTGCTTGATGATCGCAATTAAAATGATGAAGAAATAACAAAACAAATAACACGTAATTGTTCTTCGACTGATGCCTACGATGGAAAATTAAATACCATCATCACTGTGTCTCTTTCACACATCGTTTCTTATCCATGTGAGAAACAAAAATAATACACACGTTGAAAACAAAGTGTCATTCTGAAGTGGGTTTTGAACTTGAAATCAAGCGCATGACATAATTTCAGATAATAAATCATCTCATCATGCATGAGAATTAGTAAATTGTGTAATATTGAATTCAAGTATCGAATTTTACACTTCAACCAACTTACTGTCGTCGCAGCTCACGATTCAAGTGAACATTAGCATGACGTATACATTACCAGGAGAAATACTAATCGTATCATTTTCATCGCTCATTAACGATTGAAATTGAAACAAACCTTTGAGTACCCTTTCTACCTTTCAAGAAATTTAACATCATCATTGAGCATTTTTCAAAGGTTTTGAAAAATTCAAACTGATTTTCTGAAGAAGAAAAAAAAACAAATGTTTAACATTGGGACAATTAGAGATCTAGGTACACTGAATATCTATAATAAGGTAAATTCGGTCAAGAAGAACAGCTCCATGAACGGTTCGCATAACGACGTCTTGTTATGATAATAATAAAACAAAATCAATCTGTACGAAGATTGGCACCACTTTTTGAAGTGCGTTAAAAGCAAAAAGTATTTTTTTTCCCTTCCCCCTACAACATGGTGAATATTACATGATTTTTTTAAGTGTATCCATAAAAATGTGCCATAAAAGCATTCACTATCGCACTGTACGATTCGTTCATAATTTAAAGGAAAACAATATTTGATTCAATTTATGCTCTTAAATTTGCGATAAGTATTCCATACATTTCACTCTTTTTTCTTGTGCAAAACGCATTCATTTCATGGATGCATAGAGTGAATGCCGATGACAATAATTTTATGGCCATTGTATAAGCGTTTCAATTGAACTGGAATTCTCATTCATTCCGCGTGTCTCACTTTCTGATCAATTGTATTCACATTTCCATCATTTTATTCGATTTTTTTTTTAAATTAGCATTTATGACAACCGCATTTCAATTTCTGCGAACTTTGCACATCAAGGAAATGATGATGTGTTGTTACTGGAATGAGTTGATATTGCCACTATTTATGTGCTTGAAAATCAATTTTTTTTTTCGTTTCTTTTTTCTTCTCTCCATCAAAAGATCAAAATTCAAATATGGACCATTGTGCTATTCGAATCATACCACGGTAACGGTTCGTTTTTTTTTCATCGTCCCATTACCCCAGTACATTAGCATCGCATTGAAGTGAAAATGAATCTTTCCAGTTCAATTCGCTCAACTAAATCTCTTAATCCATTTCACTTTTTACAGATGCTCGGCGATCATTAACAGAAGCTCATTTGAATATGTACTTTGCGCTAAATTGGTACATTAATTAAAATATGGCATGTGTACGAGTTCTTTCGGAGATGCAGTTCAGTTTTTTGTGTTCACAAAAAAAAACATGTAAAAACACCATAAAATACACATCGAACGTCTGCACAATGTAGAGCACACCGCGGTGTGTATCGTGGCAAGCGCAAACGCGAACGCGTGAAAGTGATTTTATGTGCGATATTGCGAATTCGACAGTGAATAAGATATAGTGCAGTGTATGGATTTGATTTTAGAGCGCATGCATTCAATTTGAACACCTGTACTTTGCTTTTCCATTTCGTTGAATCATCTCGTTTGTAATTTTCCACTAAATTCGCGACGCTTTTCACTATCAACACCATCGACACTTTGTCAATTGAAGTCTAGTGTTTATGTCATCACGAAAATTACTTCACTTTTGACCGTCGCAGATGACGGTTTTGGTGCGGAAGTTTGAATATGAAATGCGAAACTCAATTATATTTTTATTTTTCTGTAAAAAAAAAATACAGTTTCAAAACAGTTCCTGAACGTAGAAAACCAGATTTGTTCAATTCTTTTCCGGATTGCATTTTTCTCTTAATGGTCCAGTGTCTCAATGAATATTATGACTTATACATACCTTGTGTGCAGTTTTGTCGATTCAAATGATGTTTGCATGTCTGCATTTTTGTTCGCTATTCATTTTTTGCACTGGCGAAGACGGAAAAATTTCGTAAACAAATATTTTTGCTATCATTCCATGTTATTGCGAATAGTTTAGCGCTTAATTCAAAACATGTTTTTGTTTTATCATTTGTTTGGTAGTGGATTTTTTTATTCATTTTTCATTATCGATTTTGATAAATCAACAAATATGCTTGAAGTATGTTTCGCCTAAGACTAGTGGCACTATACATGATGCTATATGAATGGAATGATATTAAAATTATTATACGCTAAAAACTAAACGGGCGTCATTGAGTCATTTTTTTATCATTGAACTGGCTAGGTATTTTCACAATTCTGAAAAAAGGTTGAAACCAAAATTGTCCATCCACAGAGTTCACTGTCACCGAATATTCTAATAACAATAATCTATCAACAATGAATAAAAAAAAAACTATGGATTATTTGATTCTCTGTAAACAACAGCAACATAATGAACATTCTTTAAAAACAAACAATCAAGCCAAAGGTTTACGGTTTATTACATGCAAACTCAATTTCATTTCTAGTTTCTCTTATTCAGCTTTAGTGGACGTTCCGTAACTAGTTTGGGTGATCGTTTTGAGTAGCCTTGGGCCGTTGAATATGCAATGGTATTGTAACCCGGTTGATGTGAACCGTGTTGAAAGAAATGCGTTGGATGGGCCAATGTTGGCGATGCAAAGTTACCGGAAACAGCGTGTAAAATTTGACGATTTATCAAAGCAGCATTCCGTTGCCGTTGCGCCGCATAGATCACTGAACTGGGTACATATGAATCGAGCAAACTGGTTGGCTGATGTTTTTGAAATGAATGGAAAATATCAAGTGGCGATTGTAAATGTTGTGGCGATGGCTGATAATATTTATGGGAATTTTGGATTTGCGGTGATGTGACAAATTCAGCAACGGGTTGTAATTGCAATGATTGTGGAGTCAATTGTAGCTGAGGTATGGTGGTATATTGGAGGGCAGCGGTTGGAATGGCAGTTGATTCAGGTGCTTGTAGCACCGCAGTGCCGTCAAGATGTGGATTCACAAAGGTTGCAGCCAGTGTTGGTTGAGGAGCCGTCAAATGCTGTGATGGTGATGCATGTTCAGCTGGTATATTGGTGGCATACGGTTGTGCATATTGAATCGATGGAAACGCATACGTTTGAGCCTGTGCTGGATTTCTAAATAACATTACATAATTCGGGATGGATCTGATGAAAGAAACAAACAAACAAAAAACAAAAATTGGTCAAACATTTTTGCGCTAATTTTGTTTCTTCTTAGATTCAAATATGATAAAAAAAATATAGCGTTAAAATGTTTGTAGTATAGTTTCAACACGTGAAAACAACAAATTACGAACAATTTGATGCTTCTTATGGACGCGCGTAAACAAACAAAGTTTTTCGGAAGATACGTATAGAGAAAATAATGAAACAATTTCAGACAAATAATGATCTGGGAAAGATGGAAAAAAGCGAAATGGCTGTGTGCGTGTGCCAAACTAATTTTATTATTAGGCGTGTTATTTACGCATCGTATTGTATCGAAATCATCACAAACAAAGGTATAATTTTCTGGCAACATTTTTGTTTTTTTCAAACAAAAACAAAATACGAAGGTGGCAAATGTAATTGGATGGATATTTAATCTTCATGATATAATTATATGTCGGCCGAAGAAATATTGCTATGCATTTGCACAGAGAGAGTGAGAGAGGAACGCTTTTTTTTGGTTTTTTTCCCATTGTGATTGTGCTCATTGAAAGCGAATCGTCTTCGCATGAACTTTCTATGCAGGTGGTCAATAAACCAGTAAAAATTATGCGATATAAAATGATTATAGCACGTAAGTGCACTGTACGTACAAATCAATAGTGCAATAAAACTTTCGCGCATTCGCAAAAGTCTACATTTCATAAATTTACGAACAAAATTCACCGAGAATAACATAATTTTACTACATCGATTTGTCTTTGCGTGTGAATCGTAACACAATTCTACCCACGCCGATAATCATCATTATATGTATATATCATTGGCACAAATTTGCATAATGGACGCAAAACACATAATAAAATTACATATTGTTACGAATGAAAATAAAAAATCAATAAATCTTGTTTTTGTTAAAGCATGCCAATGATTTGTGTATCAACATTTTCATTTTTAACACGTCCAAATTTGTAATAAAAAAAAGTCGTTTGTCTTCCGTCTTATTAATTCCATTTCTTTCTTTTACCAAAAAAAAATCGGTAACAGGTGTCTTTTCTTTTCACAGTGTCATCGATTACATCTAGTTAACACACTGACAAAACTAAGGTTATGATTTTGACAACACCGTGTTGTAAATGCTTACATTCCAACGAATGTTGTGAAGTAGCCAACAATTGTTGTCATTGTGAATACGTACAATGGCATATATTATATGTATTCACAACGACAACAATTGTTGGCTACTTCACAACATTTGTTGGAATGTAAGCATTTACAACACGGAGTTGTCAAAATCATAACCTTAGTTTTGTCAGTGCATCTAAAATTATGGCCAACATTAATATATTAATAATGTAATTTTTATGTCCATTGTTTGATTAAAATGAAGAAAAAAAGCAAAAAAAAAGTGGTCGACGGTCGGAAGTGTTTTTTGTTTGCTAAAGTCAAACTGGTTTTAATCATGCCGAATTCCCCATCGCACCGAAGAAAGTGAGAAAGATATTGGCGAATTTCTTTTCTGTTTGCTTTCATAGACATTTTCTTTCCGTAAAATTGTCTACATGAATGAAATGATTCAAAATACAAAAAACCGAGAAGAATGTTGCTTCTTTCAAGTCGAAATTAGCGAAAATAAATATGTCCAAAAGAGTTTAATTTCTTTTTTATGTAATATCAATCCATATTGTATTTGTGCTGTACCGTTCATTGATTCATTTTTTCTCTCTCTCTCTCTCTCTCTCTCTCTCTCTCTCTCTCTCTCTCTTCTTTCAAACAATTGAAAACGAAAGTACCATTCATGTTGAAAATTGCATTTTGAATATCATCAATTCGCATAATCAAACACTGAACTTACGGTGTTTGTGTCAAATATGGATAATATTGAAGTGCTCGTGATGCATAGTTTTCTTGGCGCGTCGGTGCATTCACCGCTTGCTGTGAGGTCTCCGAAATTTGATTTTGTTCAATGGCCGGATAGCTGATATCATCTTGTGCATTTTTCTGTTGAGTTTGTACCAGATTTTCGACAGAATGTTGTGGCTGACCGTATGTAATGACACCGCTTGGCGATAATTGTTGCGCGCCAGCTTGAACATAGACATACTTTGGCTGTTGCGAAATATATGGAGACGGTGATGCGGGTGGCTTGTACACAATTGGATTCACCAAAGATTCTCGGGCTGGTGACGAATAGGTATGAGTTGCTTCATGAACTGGGTGTACTGGGTTTGTATATGATGCCGAAGTGGGCGTTGCTTCGTATTGCTGTTGTTGCTGTTGCTGTTGCTGTGGCGTTACATACTGAATTGACGTTTGTTGATCAACTTTTCCATATTGTTCGGCATATTGTTCACGAGATGTTGTGTCACCGTCTGGTGCTGTTGGTGGCTGAGCATAAACAATATCCTCGCCTAGGTCATTGCTCGTACTTTCCGATGATGCCTAAAAAAATCAATTCAATCGATTTATATTTCAGTGGCAAAATTTCGAAAACAAAAAAAAAACGGAAATATTCACCTCGTAATGAGGTCCCACATGAATTGGAGCGACCAACCGTTGTGACTGTCCAATTTTAACAATTTCTTGATCTCTATTTACACGTCGTTCGCTCAATAAATTGTCTCGTTCAATGTCTTCGAGTTTCAGTTGTTTTTCGGCCACAGCAAATGTTAACATTGTTGTTAACAGCACATATTTCAATTGAATATTCATTATTATCTGAAACGAAATGAAACAAAGTGCAAGAAACATGCAATGAAAAAAAAATAAAACATCAGTTGAGAAGCTGACAACAAGAGGTCGTGATTTGTTTCAAACTAAAACTCCTGAAAGTATGCGAACGAATGTGCTTTTTCATTTCGACATTTCACTGAATTCGATTTCACGTCGCATGAATGGAATACAAGATTCCAATTTTAGAGATACAATGTTATGATCAACAGCTACTTGCGAAACCCATTCATGTTTATTGTGACCGCTAAGATTGACAACAGTGTACAAGCACGTTTTGGCAAACACAATGACTTTAAGTTTTACTTCAATTGAACGTGCTACATTTAATGACTTAATCAAGCGGATCTAAACTCAATCTTAAACATGCATTCAAGTGGTTTTTTGATGCCATTTAAAACGTTGTATTTTTTTGTAATAATTCGTTTCTTTGTATTTTTGATTATGATTAAATCAAGTATTTCATATTGTTATCGAATGAGTCTTGAGCTTCCGGACGGAGGGATTAGTGCATTTCTCTTTAACGCCTGCGGCGATATTATGAGCATTACTCATATAGCTCAATTTTATTGGCCTCGTTAATTGAAACCTGAAGTGTACGAGATTTTACGACTTTAGTATTCGTTGCGATCGAATATATTTTGCGAAATTTTATAACAGCGATTGAAGTGATCTACTTGCTTATTTTAATACTTTTCATTTTATTGGATTTTAATTATTATTGATTTATTACAATAACTTTTTCTAATGAGTCATGAGCTTATGATCCATCTTTGGTTAGAAGATTTTTTCCCTTCGAATACCTCCATCGAGTGTGACTGCTTTTTATTGTTGTGAATGACCGATCACCGCCTTCTATTTATGGCAGATTAAACGTGATCAAATCAATAAAAAAAATACAATTCTTTAACGGGCAAATCAAATCGCATGTGTGATTTAAAAAAAAAACGATATTGCAACAACGAGAAAAAGTAATAAACAAACCGGACAAAAACAAACCAAAGTTATTTATGGTTGGTATTCAGAGAAAGTGGTTTAAAAGAAAAAGATCAAACTATATATATCTTATTATTCTTCGTGCGTTGTTTGCTCTGGTTGCTCTGTTGTTAAGCTCTTTTTAAGCTACCTTTTACAAGTACACATTCGTATGCTAGCCGTCTGCATAAGTACAAATGATCGCGCGCATGCCCAGACGTCGTTGAAATTCCATTAAACGCATATTTTATGTGTATCGACGGTCATAACGAATTGAATTTTTCAAGTGCTGCCATTTGGTTTGCATCACATCCCAAAGAGTCGATACATTGAACAGTTACCGCACACACCGTTGGGCTGACGGCGAATGAATGCTGACTTCATTGAAGTGCAGTGCAGTGTGCAGATGAAAATCGTTTAAATAAAATTCACTAAAGTCGTTACTTATTGACGGTCGATACCATTAAACATTCTGATAATCGTGTTACATGAATGCGCAAAAATTCCCTTGAATCAAAATAAATGATTATGAATTTATGAACTTGTACGTTCAAACTGGAACGGCCGTTAAATGTATAGCAAATTACAAAAGAAAGTCCAGAAAATGAAATTCACGTGAATGGATTTCATTTCAATTTCGATTGTAAAATTGTGATAATAAAAAAGTTCCTTCCTAGCGAATTGCCCGGAAAAACCGGATTACTTGAATTCATAACGAAATTGGTTTTTTTTTTTAGATTAAACTCCTCAAATTTAAAATATAATCACCGTTTCAGATATGTTGCATACGAATTCGACAAGTGAAAATTGATATACTGCAAGAGTCGAATGGGCATGACGATATTGGATTATAACTTGTATTCGTGGGAACTATATATTTTAGATAGAAGAACTGTGACCCTACGAATATCCTCTGGAGCTGCGTAAAAAAAATGTACGACACATTACATAAATTCAATCAGAGCAATTAACACACGCATAACTGAAAAGAGCTCTCGTTTCACGCATACCGGCCATCGAACCAATGCAACGCATTACAAATGCAGCGCAACTAAACGAGATTAACCAGAAAATCAAACAGCGACAAACAATGCGTTAGAAAGCGGTATCATTATGCTTGGATAATTGTGTAAATATTGTGCGTGGCATTTTTGAATGTACATACCATTTATGCACGGTGACGAATGAGTAAAAATGTCAATGCATTTCGGATAGATAACATGTTCATTTATTCAAAAGCGAAGAAATAGAAAAAAAATGACTTTTTGATACAATTTGATGTAATGACACTTAGCAAGATTGATATAAACGTAGATTGTAAGCGATTGTGATATTGACTACGCTGGCGGGGTTTGAAGAGTAATGAGTGTTGCTCTTGAAAATTGTCACAATAAACATTAATTTATATGATGTTTTTTTAGTATGTGAATGTGTACTGTAATCTAATTCATACAAAATAATAACCGAAAAAGAGAAGATCACTTTCTATCCTTTCGATTCGACGTTCTCTTCTCTATTCAATCATACAGACAATTTTCTCATTTACAAAATAAAAATGATCGTTTCCGTTCATGCAATAAACATTTCCGTAATTTTTTGTTTGGCCCGCAGTCATTTGTTCAGACTTATATCTTTTGATCAATTTGATATATTATGTTGAAGTGGCCAGCAGCAGCAAATACATCCCATTTTTATTTAAAAAAAATACATATGTAAACATGATACAGAAACCTACAGATAATGACAATCTATTGGCATAACCGGTGACCAGTAGCCATTGGCTGTCATAAAACATTTGTGTAAAATGTAAAGACGCCGTGGCGTGCATATTTTGACACATACCGAGATATTGTTATGAACTTTTTTTCTCATATTTATGGCAAATTCTTGCGGTCAACACGTTGTTTGGTTTAGAGAAATAATCTCAGCATTTCACATAAATTAAATTGATGATTTCTCGACCAATGTCCCATTTGCCGTTTGAAAGTGGCACTCAAATGGAAGTGAAATGAAGGGAATCACTTGAAAAATGATTTTCGGCAAAAATGAACGAAAAAATTGAAGGCGTGAAATTCCCACTGGAGACTATGTCCAGTCCACATTTGACTTAAGGTCAGGTGTCATTTAATCGCTTAAATGTATGAAAACGATCGTTTTAACTAATTAAAAACGCATTTCAGTCTTGAAATTGGCTTTCTAAATGTTGTACAATCACATTACCTTTGTTTGATCAACAAAGATTTTGTGTTGTGGAATATTAAAATTTTATGCTGATTTAATCAGGTGCAAATGTATAATACCCGTGCACAAAAGAGTATTACAGAGCGGAAGAGATCCGCTCTACTTTCGCTTCGATTATTTCAATTCGCACAGACGGTGTCTTGACACTTTTTTTATATATTGTTTTCATTTTCTGTTGAATTATTTCTTTTCTCTTGACAAAAATGGCGCAGTATGATATCGCAGCTTGGAAAGCATGATATAACTTCGATAGATCGATTTTGTAACATCCATTCTAATTTAATTTGATTACGAATGATGGACAATGGAATTGATTTATGAGAAATAAATTTGCGAATTTTTTATGCACTCGAAATTGGTTCCGGTGAATAGACTTTCGACGATGCAATCGAAGATTGATTGTTTTATCGATACGTTTTTTTTTGCGTTAAGATATATTCATCACTTTTTCTTCTGTGAGTTATGGATATGGCGCGCTTAATATCATCGTTGTTTTTCTGATCGAAGAAAAGAAAGATTTTGTTTAAAAAAAAAATGTATTCAACACATGTGACTGTCATACACCATTGTTTCCCATAAACTCAATTATTTGCCTATGATTTATTTGCTGATTAATCAAGTGAAAAGAATGTACATTTTACTCACATTTATCCTAGTAAATTGTAATCCAATAGGTAAAATCGACGGTGTTCGAAAATGTATGCACTTTATTCTCTTTGTTCTGTCATGCAATGAAATCCATTCAATTTAAATTGCACGTATAAAATCCTTTGGCCGGTAGAAAACGCGCTATTTTTTAACTACTCGTTACCGTTATTTGTTGTTTGTATTTTCAACAGCACTTCAGTTGCTACCTGAATGCGGTAAAGAACTAATATGAACTGATTCAATCCAAAGGTGGGGCCATTCAATTTATACTCATTTTGGCCAGCCACCTTTGCTGCGCTGCTCTTTCCAATTCCACTGTGCGGTAAGAGAACGGTGCACGTCGTTCGCTTCAATAATTGTCACAAGATCAAACAAAACCAAACGGAATACAAAACAGGCAATCGAAGCGGTGCGAAAACAGATATCGACACTGTCACGGTGCAAACGAAAAGGAAAGTTTGAGTTTTTGAGACAGATCAAAATTTTGATGACGCTATATCGCGTGTAATTATAGTGCATAAACAATAATCGAACTGAAGGAAAAAACGACGAACAAATAACGGTGAATGTTGTAGAGTTTGTATTGTGGCGTGTATGTATGCATAAATTATGATGCGAGCGCGTGGACCAGTCTATCTACACATCGCTTGACATAAAATGATAAGCGATTAATTAAGGAAAAAGCATGCGTTCGATCGACATAAAATATTATGAGCCTTTCAGGCCATACAATTAAGTAACAAACACACCAGGAAAATGACAAAATTCAATTCGACTTTTATTTTACGCTACATCAACAAGCCAATTAAGCCTTGGTGTTGAATTCTTCACAAAGTTACAACATAATTTTGTACTTTAAAAGGTTGCACAAAGAACTCTTGCTGTCACATTAAATCACTGGTTAAGTTTACGGAATTTGGCCAATTTTGACCGTTTTCGTTTGAAATCGGTTTCATTGAACAAAAAGTCATTTTGTCCATTTGAGAGATGGGGCTTGTGGTACCGTATTTACATTATCGATTTGGACTCTTGCCATTCTTTGAAAGTACTTTTACTATTCCTTTACACTCAAAATCGAATCACGAACTCTGTCCTGAAAATTGTCATATTATGAAGCGTATTCGTTTCATTTTACGCAAGATCAGTTCATTTGCCGTTTTTTTCAAGTTTTTTTTACAATCAACTTTTCATAGCATGCAAAACAACATTCAATAATTGTTTGGTTATTCCTTGCGTACGGTGACGATAAGTGAGGAATTTGTTCGCAGAAATTACTCCAAATATACATCACTCAGTAAATGGCATCTGTGTAACTTCTGGTTTGAATAAGTCAAGCATTCATTTCACATTTTACTTGAATTGTTTACTTTTAATGTCCACAAAACATGCTATTGCATAACTATCGATTACCGCCCATTTTGGCATTATGAATTTAGCAATTATAACTAAAATGTATTGAACCAATATTAGTAAAAGTAATCAATGTTTGTGCTGTCTTTCGTTTTTCGCTGAGAAACGGAAATGCCACGCAATTCATCACATTAAAAATGTAAATTTCAAACTCATTCGTAATTCTTTGCCTCTGATTTTTTAGTTAACTATGGCAATTATTACACTTCGACATCGATTTGTATGCAATGTGGCCCACCAAGCTTCATCTAAAACGAACGACATCCGTGCGAACTCAAAAACAATCTCAACGCTGGTTTTCTTTCATACACATTTCACATTTTTAAGTATGTTTGTTTTTCGATCAATCACATAATCACTTTTTAACGCCTCTTCGCTTGATTGATCGTGAAATCGAACGCTTTTCGATTTGTCCATCTTTTTTTCTCAATTCGATTGGTCAGAAGAAATAAATATTCTTAGTCGTTGATTTCAAAATCAATTTGAAAGTACTTTTCATTTCATTCCACAAACGTATGGAGCAAAAAAAACGAAGTGAGCAGAGATAAAAAACGTGCGAATGGATAGTTTTTCGGAACTAATTGTCTCACCGATTGACATTTCGGCTTTCAAAAGATTAATTGATCCATTTCCGAGCGCTTTGCTTATTATGTCGTTTGAGCATCAATGCCACAGTTTTGGAAAACAAGCCTATTACCGCACCAGGCATTTGTTTTAAATTGTCGAAACGATTATTTTTGAATTAAACGAAAATACAACTTATTTTCGTTTGGTGCTTCGTTTGCTTCTGACTTATTTGCATGCGGTTAGTCAAACTCACAGATTTTCGACGAAGATGTGCCAGACAGTATAATGAGAGCATTTACCTACATGAAAATTATACGGCTTCGAAAGTATAGATTTTACTTTTCCACACACACACCGAGTGACGTATTGGAATCGATCAAAAAACTAAGACCCCTCAAAACATGTTTTGTTGATGTTTTCGGTGCCAGAGAACACAAATCAGCCGTTTTTTCGATATGTGCGTACGCAAAAGTGTGTACCAATGTACTTGGAAGTAATGCTTGATGTATCGTTGTATGAACGAGTTGAATTTAAAAAATATTTCTGACGGACAAACTGAATTTTAAACAAAACTGTAGGATTTGAATTTGAGCTGTATAGACTTTTGTTCGAAAATTATCTCTATTAGCAGCAAAAAAGCAGTATTACTGATAATGTACATTTATTTTCTTTGTATTTTTTTAATTTGAATAATCAATTGGCTGCAATGGTATTTTCGCCAATGTTTCTCATAAAATAGCCCCATGTTTTCGGAGAAGTTCCGTCACAGTGTTTCGAACTGGAAAGCAAATAATCGAATCCTTAAAAGAAATTCATAGCTCGAGTTAATAGTTTGCACCATTACCGTTTTTCGTGGCTATTGATAGCGGCGTCTCTTTATATATATCTTCTGCGTTGATATTAGCCCCATGATTGATAAGAAGTTCAGTCACAACTCTATTACCTGAAAACAAAGAATCAAACATTAACAGGAATTCATAGTTCCACTCGATAATTTGGACTATTACAATATGCTGATGCTGCATATAGTGGTGTTCGTTTATCTTTATGTCTGCGTTAATATTAGCCCCATGACTGATGAGAAGTTTAGCTATATCATTTTGACCAGAAAATCAAAGATTCAAAACATTAGAAAAGAATTCATAGTTCGAGCCGATAGTTTTCACTATTACCACTTTCTACAGCTACATAGGCGTATTTTCATTTTCATTTTCTGCATTAAAATTGGCCCCTTTTTGCAACAGCCTCTTAGCTAAACCTATTTCATCTCGAAATTTAATAAAGCTCAATCATCATATACATGATCATTGATCATACACTCTAAGAGCAAACGGACAGAAACGAAATCTATGACATTTTTAATGGACACAGAAGGGTTAAGATAGTTTAAAATTACCTTCTCTAACCGCATTGAATAGCTGTATGTCAAAATCATGCAACGCATGCACTTTCAGAGACAAACATATTAAAACAATTACACATTCCACTTTCATTGTTACAAATGAGGTATGTTTCGATTAATTATTTTACACAAAGTGTTTAATAAAATTGTAAAACAACAATATTTGAGATGAAAAACTATATATAATTAGTTCGTAAGAATAATTCAAAAATTTGTTGAAATAATCATTCCATGCATTCGCTATGGAATTAATGAGAGTACTGATTTTTCTAACTTTACTCTACACGTTATTTATTTCAAAATTTGATTATGATGAATTCATTCAATAATCATTCTGCTTATATAACAACAACAAATATTCGAGTGTCACCCATCTTAAGTCACTTCCATTAAAGCGTGATCAACCAAATTTATTTAAACTGATGAAAAGATTGAACATAATAATTCGAATAAATGCATACAGAACTCATGAATAGAACCATCATGCCGAAAACAGATTCAGTTATCTCGTGAATTCGAATTCACAGCAAAAGATATGTAATAAATGCATGTCGTAGATCACAGTGCGGAAAAGTTCATCTTAAGGATGTAAGACATTGTATTTCTTATTTTGTTATATTCTATGCCATACCAAATGATTATCAATGGAGTGAGAAATGTAAGTTGGAATTTTAAAGTGATTGTCTCTCCATTAATCGAGAATTGAACTTCATTTTCATTGAAACCAAATCTTGTGGTGCTTTTAAAATTATACAAGTGGTGTGTTAAAATCGAAACATGGTGCTGATTTATCATAATTTTTTCATTTCATTCAAGTTGGCCGAGTGCAAATTCAAAGTGAGCATATAATGTTTCATATATATGCCTGTGTAATTTACTGTGGAATGGCTTTTTATTAACCTTTTTCTCTCTCGCGCTAATCATTCATAAAATTACCGACATTTCAATAATTTGACACATAAACAGCGAAAACACTTTTTGTAAATCTCATATATGCATGATATTTGCTTTCAATTTCTAGAGCGTACATTGTGTATGCGTCAATCGTTCTTCCTATGCATTTTTAAAAAAAAGAGCGATGTATTCATTTTACGAGTTGATTGCATGCAAAAATACGGCTGTAAAAACGCATTACAATGGAATATTAAATAGCCTTTAATTCATATTTTACATTGTTGGTTCAACACAGTGGTTAAAGGGCAATATGTAACAAAACGTCATGATATAAATATTTTATATATATATTATATTGTTTTGACATGAAAATAGCGAAACGCATCTCAGTGGATTTGAAGCGACAGGAAATCATTTTATCAAAACGTGACGTTTTCTAATGAGAGACAATTAAATGATTGGCGTTGGGCTCGCGCCATATGTGCGGAAGGGCGATGCAATATTAATCAGATCGAACGATATTTCAATCGAATACAAAATGAAATTAATTACCTCTTTATAATGAGTGAATGTTTTCAGCACCTTCGATGATATTAAACGGTTCGGTAAGATACATATATACAATTTCTTTGAATCAAACACGCAGTTCGTGTCTTTCACCGCGCATTCATTCGAACATATAATTCATCTCGAGTAATTCGTGCAACTGTATTGTCGAGTTAAGAAAAAAAAGAAATATTAAATCATTGATGTATTCCATAGCAACATGATTCGGCTTCATTCGTATTAAAGTGGCAAAAATGCGCCGCCTTATCATTGTTTTTCAATCATTTCGGTTAATTAATACCTGCTGAACCATAGCTTGATGATTCGTGTATGCTTAACGGTGTACTCTCGTTTTTAATTCAGAACATCGAATGTATTTAATGAATTGATAAATCAGCAGTTTG